CTATGTGATTTTTGGAGAAAATCCCGTGAGATTAGCTAGTGTTTTGGCCAATTTGTGGGAGTGGAGTTACTGTTCACGTCGGGGGTCACTGTTCACCGGCACTATTCACCGGTTACTGTTCACACCCCGAGGGCCAACAATTAACGGGAATTTTAATGATTAGTTTGTGATATAAGAACGATTTTGGAGATATTTGATCATGTGGAGATTTATGGAAATAGCATTGTGATTATGAATGATCCTAATGATGATTTCAGTGTGAATTTGTGATAGCACGGTATTAATTCTGAGGTGTTTTGATTAGGTTCCCGATCGTTCTGTCAGTTAGTGCGTGAATTGAGTGCTCGGTTTATGCGAGTGAGGTAAGTAAATTTATGGTAATACCCGTACTGTTTTAAAAGCATGTTTTGATTTGTTTTTGAAGTGGTGGCGGGACTAAACCCGTTTTACACGAGCATGACTGATTTGAAGTAAAATGTTTTGTGCTTTTCATGAAATTGAGCATGCCTACTTGAAATTTAAGTGACTGTCCTGATGATCGGAAAGTGATTGTGAATTGTGAATTGTGATTTGCCTGTTAACTTATGCCTGTTTTGTCTCCGATGTGGTCATGTTATTCGTGACCCTGCTAGTGGAGGAGGTTATAAACGCTAGCACATGTCGACATGTTAGTGAAAGAGCCGGTTCGTTCAACCCAGCTAGTGGGGGTTATACACCAGCAAATCGTGGCCCTGCTAGTGGGGATTATACACTGGCCGTGACCTATAGAGGAGACGTCTATTTCGTGCCCGTACTATATCTGTTTTCGTGATTGTACATGTTGGCATGCTTTAAGTTTGATAAGGAGCACTCCATATTTACTTACTGAGTTTATCTCATAGTTTTTCCTTGTCCACCATTTCAGGAAGTGAAACCGAGGACGGGAAACCACGGGAAGTGACGAGTTAGAAGGCTAGCCATATTGTAATTGGATATGAATTTTAGAAACAAATCATGATCTTGTATTTGGAGATTTTATGATATCAGAGTAAATTTTAAAGATTTGATCTTCAGATTTTGATAGTATTAGATTGTGGTGTGATAAGTTCCGAGTCTTGTGCATTTGTGGGACCCGTCTTACGAGTGCACAGCGTCTGTCGCGTTTCCGGATTTGGGTTCTGGGGCGTAACACCTTTTCAGCCTTTTTCATTTTCCCTCGTCCCCCTTTTCTTCAAGTGGGAAGTGAACCTATTTATAAGCAAAAGTTTGAGTACTGCCCGCTTTTCTGCTTTTTTATTGTAATTTTCCCTTTTTT